TAGTAGTAGTAGTAGTAGTAGTAGTAGTAGTAGTAGTAGTAGTAGTAAGTAGGTAAGTAGGCCAGACCTCATTTTAATAAGACTTTTATGTCAGAATCGGTCAAGCCTAACATCGACGGAGTTTTATTCCCAAATTTGAGCACAGTAGCCGCAGTGTCGACGTTGTTTACCAGACCTGAATTTAAAGCTCCGAATGACACCACCCTCAGTAAAGCATTTTCTCACTGAGGATGACTATCAAATGTTTCATGGCAGTCGATACCAAAGAATAACAATATAGAGTCACTTTTACTTCATTACTCTATGTCTCAAAGTGTCGCAACCTATGGCATTGTTCCGTATCTTTGGACAGATAAAACCTAAATCGGTCATGAGAACAAAAATGTCCATTTTTAGACGTTCGAAACTTCTCCTTCCACTGACTAGTCGCCTTATGAAGCCGCCTTAAGTAAGTAAGTACAAAGTTACGAACAGGCTTTAGAGACTCGACTGAGTTTACTCAATGTCAAGATCTTGTTAAGTTTATCCACAACCGTGACAAATTTGCTAAATGGGACTGTTTTTTTCAAAATACTCATCCCGAGACCTGGGTTTACACTGTCAAAGATGCATTAGGTCAACTATCATTCAACGTTTGGCCGTAAAAGCTGGCTCTACCAGCAACGACGACAACCTATTCATGAAAACTGTTACCATGGCGACCGCGTAAACTGCATTGTCTACTTAATCACTGCGACTCATTAGTTTGCGTCGTGGTAGCAATTAGAAAAACGATTCTAGCAGTGCCGCTCTATCTAAAGCAGCAACACTAATATTCAGAGAAATTAAAAAATGGGCGATCAACAGAACCCACCCAGAGAGAGAAAATATAATTCATAAGATACTGAGTTGGATTATTCCGAATCTGGCTGAAATGATTAACTTGAGTAAAAAGAAATAGGGACGTCAGAAGATAAGCTGAGATTCGTTCTGTATGCTTATGTACTAGAAAAGTGCAGCCCGCTTGCTATTGTTCTCGTTAATTTGTCATTGAAGTATTAGCTATCTTTTACTTGCTGCGCAGAGGCACTAAATTTTGGGGTTAGACTAGGCAAACAGATGGCATTCAAGATATATATTAACATGACTGAAGATACGAAGATATATCCCGTTCCCTATCCCCCAAAGAAGATGAAGAAGAAAAGGCGCCTTCGTGGACCACACTGTATTGGTGCTGACAGGGGTGTGACAGGGGTCACGCGAGGTCATCTGCAGTCGCCCACGGAGAGGCAGAGG